GTCCTCAATAAGCAGAGCAAATAACCTATTATTTGAAAGCAACCATTCTTAGGTATAAATCTATCATATTCTAAACAGGTAAAAATAGTAAGACTAAATTTGGCAGTTTAGAGAATTACAAAATGGTCAAGTGGTTTTTCCTAAAATGTCTACTATAAACATCTATATAACAATATTCTTTTCTGCTTATTAGTAAATTAATATACAGCTTCCCCCAAATTATCTCTAAATTGCCAAGCTTTTATGATTTATATAAGGTGTAAAAAATCAGAATTACAGAAATACATGCTTTGAGTTAGAATAAGTATAGCATCGTATCTTTTCCTTATCTAAAGTGTGGAAGACATAAATGAGGATGGACGAATTTCTCAGCATCACCATCAATAAGGCACTAAGATGATGTCTAATACATGGGCCCTGCTCTTAACAATCTTATATTCTTGGACTGTAAAAAAGAAAAGATTTGTTATATTTTAGAATAATAATTAAACATTCTACTGGTGTAAATATGTTTTATTAAATGGAACATATAAGAATATTTTGATGTAACAAAATAAATTGGTCTGAGAACTGCTGCCATGGATGATGGTTTGTGTAAATGGATTAATTAGTTGCCGAGATTTAGCAGAAAAGAGAAAGTATGGAAAGTTCATGGATGGGGCTAGATTTAGGGACTTGGTCCAAAGATTTGAATGATGTCAGATGCATATGACTGTAAGTTTTGCTTCCTCTGCGTTTGTTTCATTTCAGACTTTACTCTGTAGCCTCTGTCATCTTCGGGCTCATGTCAGCACAACAGCAAGTCCAAGTTAGTCTTCGTCGCAGTTTGACGAGATTCTAGTCACTGACCGGAAACCCTGGGCTCCAGACCAGCTGCCACGTGCCTGCCGCACCAGATCCGTGCCAATGCTCAGGCTTGCCAGCAGCCAGGGGTGGCCTGTCAGGAAAGGGTGGTAGGCTTTGGGTCCTGGCTGGGACTCTGGGCCAGGCTGTGGGCATCGCTTGATACATAACTTTTGTTGTTTAGACATGTGGCATGTGAGCCTCTGTTTAGATTCTTACTCCAAGTCCTTCAAATGTTAGAGGCAGGCCTGGTATAGGCAACGTTTGGAATTTTGGTCTTCAACCTGAGAGCAGAAAAAAGCCATTTGGAGTTTAAGCAGGAGAGGAACAAGATAAGATTTAGATTTTTAAAACTAGTTTTACTGTGGCATAATTGACATAAAATCAATTGCACACATTTAATATGTACACCTGATTAATTTTGACACACCAGTGAAACCATGCTCACAATCAAGAAAATGAAAAGAAAAAGGCACATGCACCCCCAATGTTCATAGCAGCATTATTTTCAATAGCCAAGACATGGAAGCAGCCTAAATGTCCATTGACAGATGACTGGATAAAGAAGCTGTGGTATATTTATACAATGAAATACTACTCAGCCATAAAAAAGAATTAGAAAGTGTCATTTGCAGCAACATGGATGGACCTGGAGATAGTTATAAGTAAGCCAGAAAGTGAAGTAAGCCAGAAAGAGAAAGAAAAATACCATATGATATCACTTATGTGTGTAATCTAAAAAAAACCCCACAAATTAAGTTATTTACAAAACAGAAAGAGACTCAGACATAGAAAACAAACTTAT